ATTAACTTGATGTTAATTTTTTTAATGACACGGAGGCGAGTATTATGCTCTCTCTTTCTTTAATATATTCCTCAGCAGGAAAGACAAAAAGTAATTTGAAAGAGAATATGAAAAAAAAATAAAATAATAATAATCAACCAACCAACTGCCTAGTAACAGGGCAGCCAATCAGGATACAGGAACAGTCTATAAAGTGCCTTGAACTAGCATCTAGCTTCCTCTTTTTTGACCAAAAAACTCGAAACCTTCAACATTAGGAACAGTCGCCACAAAGGAGCATGTCCACAACTAAAATCAGGCTGTGAAAAGATAGAAATATATGGTAAAAACCAAACTCTGGATCTATAGTAAATTCAATATTAATACAATTGTCTATGCATATCTGAAAACCACAATGTTATATAAAAGATAACAAACGATGATACCACATAACAGAACCCAAACAACCACCACCAGTTCCCAAAACCCGGTGGGCGGGAATAATACTCGCCTCCATGTCAATAATAAAATCCTGACTTTACGTCATGTTAATAGTAAAATCTTGGAATTTTATTAATGACACGGAGGCTCCTATAATGCTAGTTCAAAGCTGAGCCACAACCCGAGAAGAAAAATGGTCAATCGGACGGAAATAAAAAAGTCTTGCAAAGTCGATTCTTGAGACCAATCCGCCGCTCTCAATATATTGTCCAAACCACAGCCAGTCCTGGAAGCTTTACACGCCATGGCCCCCTTCACAGAATGAGCCAAGAATCGGTGTCGGAGAATTGAGGTGTCGGAGGTTTATAAGCGGCCGAACCCCTCCGCCCTTTTTGGCCACTAGAAACAAATTGCTTATGAATCCTAGGGTATCATACAGAATTTCTTGAATTGCCTGTTTGGAGCGAAGTTCCCAAATCTCCGCAGAGATAAGGTTGGCTTGGTCGTCTGGCAGGGACAGGTTTTGGGAAAGGGGAGGATACCAGATCGAGGCGAAAACCCCTGACCGTACATAACACCCAAGCATCTGTGGTGATCATACCCCATGCTGTAGCAAACAAGGCCAGTCTGTTCCACATGCTTAATAGGGAAAAAGATGGAGACAAGATACTCACCGTAAGGACGTCTGTGGGAAGGTTGTACATGACCTCCACGGCCACCCTCGTGTCGGAAAGAAAGGCGCTGGCTTGAATTCCGGGTAGGTTCGCGGTGTATTGAGGGAACCTCTGTGGATCCGCGAGGGACCTCTAACTCCACTGCAGGGAGGACGGCTCCTATAACTCCCGGCCTCAGAGAAAACCTTAGGGCTGAAGACCTGTTTCAGGTTTCACTGTGCCTTATCCAAGGCAGTGTAGGTCCTGACAAATGACCCAAGGTCCTTCATGAATGAATCCCCAAAGAGCATACCCTTAGCCCGGTTCTTTGACCGCAAGATTTACCAACTTGGGCTCTATTTTAAGCAGGATATCCTTATGGCGTTCTGCTGACAGTCGTGTTTGCGTTGCCTATGAGGCATATTATACGTTGTATCCAGCCTATGGCTCGCCAAAGTCAGTGGGGGCCTCTCCTGCCTTAGCGACTTCTAGCAGCTTATATAATTTGGCAGCTGGTCCCAGTGTGTCCAGGATTTTATCCTGATAATTGTGCAGGGAATTATAAGAAAAAGAGTAGAGGTTTGTGCCAACAATTAGGTACACTAAGAAAATGGGGAGTAACCCCAGGTAGAAATTATCAAAAAAGAAAAATAGTGTTCCTACACAGTCTAAAATAGAAATCAGAAATTATGACTGACTGTCAAATCTCAGAGATACTAGACTAGTTGCTACCAGAGATAGTACTAGATCAATAAAATATTTTTTTTTTTAATTATAACAAATCTTAACATGTGGTGAATATGCTTGTGTACGAACAGTGAACATATAAAAGGTATTAGAAATCCATACCCTGTTAAAAATGCCTACTAGTATTATGAATTAATACAGCAATATAAACAATAAAGCAGGACTGATTGAGACTGCACAGGAAGATTGGTAAGTATGGAGTCCTCACAGTGGAGTCAATCAGTAATAAAAATAAATTGCTAAGTGGAGATGATAGCAAGATGTTACTAAATAGTATAGAAACACTATCTAATCTGCCTAAAGATAACAGTTCAGCAGGTCTGGTTAAGACACAAAAGAAAATTGACAAAATAGGAAAGTCCCAGCAGTGGTGATTTAGATAAGCTGCTGAATGAAGGTAATGACAGGATAATACTAATGGTAAAAAAGGAGCTTAATTTATCAAGGAGAATTAAACTTATATTAGAAACCTAGATATAGTTATAGAAGTCCTATAGTCAAAACTGTCTATTCGTCACTAGGTAAATATGTCTATTAGTGTTCCACTTATTACTCACAGAATACCATATACGTATCAATCTGTAACAGGCAGAAAAGACATCTAGATCGTTTGGCAGGCAGAGAAGGCAGTCTGAAGACTCATGAGGGGAGGGATGGGGGGGGGGTTGAAGTTGCTAATGGGTTCTATAGCTAGATCTCTAAGTACTCAGTGTATAGAATTCTGTTAGTGCTAACTCTTCAAGATATAAACGGAGATGTGTCAGGATGCTGATACCTGCACAATCAACTAGCTATACTTCAAATCCTACAACTAGCACTCCCCCTGTGCCTTCAAGGGCACCTGCCACTATTTCCACTAAGCAAGTGCCGATATGATAGTAGAAAAAATTAAATAAAGATGAATTAATGAAAGAAAATAAATAAACTAATAAATCAAATAGCTCCATCGCAAATTCAAGTGCTGGTTACTGAATTATAGAAACAGCACGCTAGGAACCCCTGACGCGCACGGACAGATTTCTAATACCTTTTATATGTTTACTGTTTGTACACAAGCATATTCACCACATGTTAAGATTTGTCATAATTAAAAAAAAATGTTTTTTATTTTATTGATCTAGTACTATCTCTGGTAGCAACTAGTCTAGTATCTCTGAGATTTGACAGTCAGTCATAATATCTGATTTCTATTTCAGACTGTGTAGGTACACAATTGTGCAGGGAAAAATTGTGCAGGGTGTCTTACACACTGCACCAGGTATGGATAACCAGGGGCATTTAGCCCTCAATTTGCTGCGGCCCTCTTTAGAAAAGCGCGCCGAATGGAACACAGGCTCTGCCCCTGGCAATGGCTGGCAAGCGCAGGAAACTCCCACAGTCCAAACCCTTGCGTCGCTGGGTGCACAAACAGGAGGACCGGGCGGTACGAGGAGTAGGCACCTGGAGCAGTACAAGCACGCCGCAGTGCCGATACGGCTGGTTATTACCACAGTCGTCACACACGTGGCCTTGAAAGGAAAAACAAGGGAACCCCCTGCCTAAAGCCGAGAGCCCCAGCCTGTGCTTGCTTTAAACAGTAGCACAAGCAGGGAAGCACGGCCAACAGAGTAATACAGAACCGAGAGTTCTGCCCCAAAGAGAACATATACAGTAATCAATAAACAAAATGGAAAAAAACACTGTAGAACAACAAATCCAATTCATAGGGAGATAGAAAAAATATACTTAGTTGGTCTGAGGAGCAGCAAAGAAAGAGGAAGCTGGAAGCTAGTTCAAGTCACTTTATAGACTGTTCCTGTATCCTGATTGGCTGCCCTGTTACTCGGCAGAGTTGGTTAGGTTTGATTTTTTTGTTCATATTTTCTTTCAAGTTATTTTTCTCTTTGCTGCTGAGGAATGTGTTAAAGAAAGAGAAAGCATAATAGGAGCCTCCGTGTCAGTAATAAAGTTATAATTCATCTTCCAGAATTATTTTTTGTTAATGAAATTTGGCCGAGCACTAAACATTATTAGTCTAATTAAAACAATAAATGTCCAGTAGCCTCTGTATTTAGGTTTACCATTATTTACCTGTCTGTAGATCCATTTTTCTTTAATTCTCCTTTTTTGGGATTTCTACCTGAAATGAAATGATAGGAATGATGGATTAGAGTGAAATGAAAAATGAATCATCTTAAACCAAATTAGAAATACTTCAAAAGGCTGGTTTTGTTAGAATCACAGCTTGTTGTAACAAGTCTCAATGTTACTATTTTTATATATCCTGAAAAAGGACTAACCAGGGGTAAAGTCCTGGGGAAAAAGTGTGAGAACTCACCCAAAATCAACCCCTCCACCCCCCCCCCCCAAAAAAATTAAATATATTAACAAGGGTATGCATATATATTTCTCAGAAAATACAGTGCAACATTTATCTAAAGGGCCAATTTACAAAGACAGCTCTTAAATTCACACGCAATAAACGAGTAAATATAGAACAGTTGTAACAAAAGCATTCGCAAACAGATTTAGTGAACAGTGGCAAGCACACATTTGGGATATATTAAATATCCCCACGCTGGCTCCACATATAACCCCACGCGGGCTCCACTTATATCCCCACGCGGGCTCCACACATATAACCCCACGCGGGCTCCACACATATAACCCCACGCGGGCTCCACACATATAACCCCACGCGGTCTCACACATATAGCCCCACGCGGGCTCCAGCCTCCACCTATATCCCCACGCAGGCTCCACATATAACCCCACGCGGCCTCCACACATATAACTCCACACATATATCCCCACGCGGGCTCCACATATAACTCCACGCGGGCTCCACATATATATCCCCACGCGGGCTCCACCTATAACTCCTATGTAATGCTACAGAACAGGAACTTCAATTCAACTCCTTACAACTTGCATTACTAACTCCAAAGAGAGAGGACAGTCAGTGTCACACTTAGCAATGGGAACTCTGGCCATGTACTATATATTGCACACACATTTCATTCACACAGTGAGTACAGAGGTAGGTTTATCAGGATCTACACTCACATTTTCAACAGCCAAATGGTTAAACTATATCATTTCAAATATGTATCGAAAACAGGATTAACAACTTTGTATTTATTGATAATTAAATATTGGAAACAACAACAAAAAGATAAACAAATGCATAAAATGTGTACTCAGGAATATGTTAAAATAATTCACAACCATCGTTTAAAGCAAAACAAAAAGCCAGTCGTTTAAAAAAGTGGTTTCTGAAAGCTGACTCATAAAGTGATTATTGCATAAACAGCAAACTCCAATGTATTGAAAACTAAATTGCAAAATTTAGCGGATTCAGAGTCTCCAAGTCACCTATAGCCACAGCTTCATTATTTTAACCTAAATCTTGCAATTCAGTTCTCATTTCCTAGAATTTACCGTTTACCCTGAGTTAAAATGATCAGTTCACCCATGCACACAGGGCTCTAAACCAGGGATATTGACTGGGCAGAGCCCCAGCTGTTGTGGAACTACCACTACTAAGAAGCAATGCCAGTCCTAAGGCTGCCAAAGCATTCAAGGATTTGTAGTCCTGCAGTAGGTAGCCATCTCATTTATTCTGCACTTTCCATCAGACCTATTATAATGCTGGATCAGTCATGTGAGTGCAGGCTGGAAGCTTCCTTGGGGTCCATAATGGATAGATACAAAGTTATAGGACTTACAGAAACTGTGTCCCCTTCCTGCAGCTTCTCCAGGTCCAGCACCCCTTGCTCTTCACACTCCTTCTCTGCCTGTCAACTCACACGATGCAGTAACAGCCCTCCCACCTCCACCTTGCCTGTGATTGGACAGTGCGATCAGAACACTCAGGGTGTGTCCCCGTGTATTCTCATAGCATACTTTGTCCAGGATTGCTACTCCCATTAAGAAAGGACTCTGTGAGTCTATTTTAGATTCCATCAGATCACATAACATTCTCCAGATCAGAATCATTTTTATGATTATGGTATATGACTTTCTGGTATATGATTTTATGGTATATGACTTTATGGTATATGACCACAATATACCATATATGACTTAATGTTCCAATCTCCCCGCACATGTGCCAACATGTATTTGGAACGTTGAGTTATATATGTGACAAACGGGCAGGAGTTGGATACATTCCCCCTTGGTAATATTTTATAAGGAAGTTGTTGAACGTGAAATATTAGCAGTGAAACATACCAAGGAGCTCCATTCTTCCTCCTTGAATGACCTGCCTATCTCCAAATCCCAACCCTTTCTCTAGGTGGGATGTGTTGAATATGAAACTATTATTATGTTATTGTGGCATATCGGTTTTCTCCCTTTTTTGAGCCTGTTGTAGCAATTTCTATAAAGAATTATCTAAAGTCAGCTCTGAGGATACATTTTAGGGTAACAAGATAGTGGCTTATTCTTAGATATTTATCGAAATCTTTATGAGGGATGTAAAATGTAAAATGTATTTCGGAGGATGTCAGTATCACATCTCCATTTAATATATAAAATCTGAAAGGTCTAAATCAGAGATTTTTAATGTTTTTATTGGACATATCGTGATCCTGGTTGGAGCAACATTCATTTCTGCTGTAATTTTGCCAATGTTTTCAAGAAATGCTATTGTTTATTAAATATAAATCCCTTCTATACATGAAACTTACAATTAGTAGTTATTTTTTAATTACTAAGAAAAATCTACTTATATAAGATATTTATATTTACATGCACACCATCTTAAACATAAATAATTTGAGAATATAATACACAATATTCCATAAAGATGACCCAGTGTTGCAGGTAGGGGTATACACTGTGGTAAGGGAGCATTATAGCCCCCTCATTAGGATACAGATCTGATGGTGATGAGATGTAGAGAGTTAGCCCATGTTACTACAGCTCAGTGAGAAGCCGGCAGACCGGGGGTAAACTGCAAGGATGGAGCTCTGTAACACGTAGCGGAGTTCTGTAACATTGAGGGGAGCTCTGTAATATGTAGATGGCTCTGTAACATTGAGGGGAGCTCTGTAATATGTAGATGGCTCTGTAGCACTGAGGGGAGCTCTGTAATATGTAGATGGCGCTGTAGCACTGAGGGGAGCTCTGTAATATGTAGATGGCGCTGTAGCACTGAGGGGAGCTCTGTAATATGTAGATGGCTCTGTAGCACTGAGGGAGCTCTGTAATATGTAGATGGCTCTGTAGCACTGAGGGGAGCTCTGTAATATGTAGATGGCTCTGTAGCACTGAGGGGAGCTCTGTAATTTGTAGATTGCTTTGTAACATGGAGATAAGCACTGGTGCTCTGTTACATGTAGAGGGCTCTGTAACATGGAGTGGAGCTCTGTAACTTATGGAGGGCTCTGTAACATGAAGTGGAGATCTGTAACATGGAATGGCTATCTTAACATGGAGTGGAGCTCTGTAACATGGAGTGGAGCTCTGTAACATAGAGGGAGCTCTTTACATGAAGTGGAGCTCTGTAACATGGAGTGGAACTCTGTAACATTTAATGGCTATCTTAACATGGAATGGAGCTCTGTAACATGGAATGGCTATCTTAACATGGAGTGGAGCTCTGTAACCTGAAGTGGAGCTCTGTCACATGGAGGGGAGTTTGGCCAAGCACAGACTGCCACACACGGTACTCTATACACTAATCCTGCCATGCTGAGGTATGCCCCATGCTGCCCAGCTTAGCTTTCCAGGACTAAAACAACTTCAGAAAGACAGGGACAGCCACAGAGAGCATATCCTGCCAGAACACTCAGATAGCTGCATAGTTTGGGAGAGAAACTGTTTCTCATTTGCTGCAAAAACATTCACAACTGTATAAAGAATATTTTCTAATAAACAAACTACAATAATATACCTCCCTTCTCTGTTTCTTTGTATAAAACCCAAATGATATACAATTTCAAATCAATATCAAAGTGCCTCTAGTTTTTTGACTATAAATTGTGCAATATTGTTGTGTAGAATTATTTTTTGTGTGACTAAAACCAGCGTGTTTCTTGTACTGGTGCAATGTCAAATAAAAAATAAATAAAATACAAATTAAAGTGCCTAAGTAGATTAAACCGCCCAAATCATAACACCAAATTAAAGTGAAAAAATAAAGCGTTGAAAAAAACGCCCTTTGGCACAGAGTACTCTGAATTCTTTGCCACATTCTTTCCTTCTCAGTCTCTGGCTTACTAACACGGCACATTCTGTGATATTTACTGTGATACAATTTTTGTAACATTGAAGTCAATCACATGATCAGCAGATTGTCACTTAGCTGACAGAGGTGGCTATTTGGCTCCATCATTTTACCGATCTGCAGTTGGCATTCCATATTACATACTTAGTCCTGGTTATCGTATTCCTGGCGATATAGATTTACCCTACAGGAGAGATTTAGTAGACATACCCTAACCATCTACCCTAGCATCTAATAAAGGATTTCCCCTAATACTGGTATCGGTTCTGGGAGGGTATTGTCATTTTACTAATATTTACTATTTTAGTTTATTAAGATTGCCTTAAATTGTCACAGTAGGATTTTCACTTTGTTGTAATATGCTCTATTTTAATAAAAGGCTTATCCAACGATCTCTAGTTGTTTTTTTCGGAATGTGTCTTACTTTAAAATATTTAGTTTTTCTCAAATCCTTAACCCCTTAAGGACCAAACTTCTGGAATAAAAAGGAATCATGACATGTCATGTGTCCTTAAGGGGTTAAACAGTAAAATGTGATTTTAAAATTACAGCATCCTGCCTGCAGCTGCTGATATTTTATGTGTTATTATTATACAGGCAACACTGGTGATAATAATGATGATAATAATAATAATAATAATAATAATTAATAATGATAATAATAATAATAAGAATAATATATCTGCAGCTGCAGGATGGATGCTGTAATTTTAAAAGCACATTTTACTGTTTAGGGATGTGAGAAAAACAGAACATATTTTACTTAAATAAGGGAACCCCAGTAGATCAACTGCCATTTATTCTCCAATGGGTTTGGGAGACATTTAAACCATTAATCGGAGAGAAGAATCACTTCTCGATGCTCCAGTGATGATAAGCTCTGATCAGTATCTGGCTGAGGATGCTGGGTGTTGCAATCCCAGCTTGATAGAAATTCCCTCTCAGCATTGTACACGATGCACATCTCATGTGACAAACGTTTTAAATCAACAACGAATTAATTCTGCTCTTCATAGGATTTAACCAAAAACAAGAAAGAACTAGTACTCTAAAGGGAAACTGGTATAAATGTGTGTCAGGGACAACCTTCTAGGGGGTAACCCTCACTGAAACGTGTTACAAACAAAGAAGAAAGGAATTCCAGAAGCAGTGTCTCTGGGATAACTGGTAGGAAGTCCCTCTATCCACCATATAAATATATTGAAATGTATTAAAATATAACCTTTATTAATTGCAGAAATAAAATGTGGAAACAAAAATAAAAATAAAAAGACAGGTGTGTGGATATATCCGCTAATAGTTCTGTGTGAGTATTTGAATTACCTGCTTATGTTATGGCAACTAGTGGATACAAAAAATCTCCACTTCAAAGGACAATATAAGCGATAACATAACATACTTGTAATGCTGAGTCACTAAAGAAACAACTAATGGATACAAAATATTATGATCTGGTATTTGTACTAATAATGTTACAAAGTATGTGTAACTAGCTCAAAATACAAACATGGGCTGTCTAAATCAGAAATTGCCCAATGCTGTTTAGGAGAAACCAAAATAAGGGGTGGGGGGAGGGGAGAGTGTCTCTATAACAAGAGAAGAAACCCTAATCACAGTCTATCAGACCAAAAACTCCACCACCCCTTATAGGAATCCCCATTGCGTCCAATAGCACACCCCAAATGCTCACAATGAAATAAAAAAAAGGAAAATAATCAAGAGGAAATCGATCGGATAGTATACTAACTACCTGTCTATTAAAAATAACCTAAGCTACCTAACGCGCGTTTCGGCGCTGCTAAAGCACCTTCATCTGAGGCAAGGCAACCGGACTCTCCTTCCAGGATTCAATTTATGACAGCTCTAGGCCAATCACTGGCCGGGGGTGTATCCCGGCTATTCGTGCCAAAACTGGCGTTCGGATTAGCCGCGCCCCCTTAAAACGTATTGCCGTATGATTGGTGGGAGACACTGAATGCCGAAATTCATTTAACCCTTCGTGTCCCATACTGCACAGTCAAATTAATCTTAGTGTCATCTCCTATTTCTGTGTATTCATGGAGAATGAAAAATGTAACACTTGTTTTTAATTGTTGATAGAATCTACAAATAAAATGTATGTAAATAAACCTACTTGAGGGGGGAATCCATATGTACATACATATATAGTCTCTAGATAATCAATATAAATGTATATACTGGAAAAAGGGATGATGAATGAGAGTAGTTAGTCTACAACTCATGTGGGACTATTAATAATAGGGTAATGTAATTGATTTAAAAAGGGAAAGAATAGTGTCTGAAGCTGTCACAAATCTTACTCCTGTATCAGAGACCAGATTTGAAATATACTTAAAAGATATTGTTATGGGCAAATGTAAATATTACAAGTTTTAGAATGAAATGTTGTATTTCTTAAACTGTGTACTTTGTCTTTAAGATATATTGCAAACTGACAAGGTGTTAGAAATGGAACATATTGTTTTTCATAGATGTTTCTTTAAGCAATAACCTCAGTGCATAATATATTTGCGCCATTTTGTCCCAGACGAATTACAATAACAATAATGCATAAACAAGCTTCAAGGCTATTCTACGACACTTGCAGTACACAATATACTGTGGTAACCCCAAGTTAATGGAACTTCCCCAAATCCGGGAATCTCCCACGACTGTACACTTACGACTTAGTATAAACAACAGATAACCTATTCAGACTTTAAGATGCCATCTTGAACTAAGTCAGGAAAATTTCCATGACGTATACACCCTTTAGTTATGGCCTTGTATGTTTGCCAAATTAAGGGAGGTCCTAAATTGAATAAAGTAAAAGAAGTGTTACTTTTTCATATTTGAACTACAGTAACCTAAAATGGAGACACCTAGGGTATAAATAGGTGTCCTTTTAAATGTTAAGACACAGAGGAGAGACTTGGAGACAGACGCTGCTCCATCTTAAAATGACAGAGAGGCTGGCATGATGCCATGTTCAGAAGGGTATGTTAACCTATTAATGATATTTGCAAGCATGTAATGTAATCTTATAAACTCTGCTATAATGGATTTTATATTTTTATATAATAAATATCCAAAAGACAATCTTGCTTCCAAGACAATCCTTATTTTATATTGTATTCTCAGTTATTTATATATGTTAAATAGAGGATCTCTTACACTATATAAAATTATGGCTAAGATATCTGTATGGTTAGCCCTACTAAGTTCTATGCTTTAAGACATTATAGTGGTAAATAAGGGAACCACACACGGTTACAATTGGCGACCACGAAGGGACATTGTACTTGGAAGCTTTAAATATAAAATAAATACCTAGGTAACCTCTTATACGTAAGAGAAGACACAATACTTTGTCATGGCACAAGTCTTGAAATATCAAGAATCTATTGAGCTATTTGTAGCCCAGACTCAGAGAGAGATCTTCATCATTAGAGATGATTTTAATGTGAACAAGGCACTGTGAGTTCAGGTGCAAAGTACAACGTAATTAGCATACAATGCTGAAATTGTGGATCTTAACTAATATCATAATAGAACAAATATACATATTTGGTAAACTCCCTGATATGCCTAATACACCAGCACAGCATGGCCCAGTAGTTCCAGGACAGTGGATTGCAGACAGGGGGATATGTTCTCTTTGTAGCTGCTTAGTATGCATGCGCAGGAAAAAGATTAATGTAAAATGTTGTCAAAAGAAAAGTGATAAGACAGAGCGATGAAATTTGAAGTCTAATTCCAAGAATGCAAAGAAAATTGCATTGTGACTTAATGAAAACATTCATGCAACAGACAGACAGGATTTTTAATTATTGCATTACTGCGTTCTGGATTCTAATGTCCACTATATAAGAAAAGTTTTATAAAACAGTGATATTTCCATATTGTCAGTTACGCTAGCTGTTGATTAAAAATCAGGAATTATAACAGCATAATTATTTTTGGAGTCTGGAATTTCCAGCCAAGGTTGCAGAGATACATGTAAGACATGTAAACATTGCTTCCATTCAGAGGAATTGAGAAGTCGTTTTATATTCCAAATTATGAACAACATTATTACATACAGCCATAAAGAGAAAGACATGGCTTTTAAATAAACTCAGTGCAGTACAATGCAGTACACTGCAGCATGTATTTTATATAATATATGCTAACTAGCTCATATTTTTTCCTAAACAGAGTTGAAATTATACTACCCTCCTAGAAAAAAGGGCAACAGGTTGTTATACATCCTTTGCTTCTCTAAATGCTCTGCGAAAATAAATATTTATAAAATAATTAAAAATAATATATACGTAAGATAAATCAGGGCAAAATAAAATTGTAACTATACAGGATCTCTAATAACTTTTAAACTGAAATTATTAAAGACTTATTTAAATAAAATGTTAAATACATTTACAACTTTAAATGTGACCAAAAGATATTAAATGATGTGTTAAGCAGCCAGCCCAATTCACTAGAATAGCATAAGTATTCTACTATTTAAAGTGCACAATTCCTGCACATAATGACTTTGCTTACTCAGGTACAGTCTTTAGTCTATTGCAATGGCAGTAAAGTCCACCAATTATAAAAGGGAAAGCTTACTTAAATCAGTGGTACTGTCCCACCGTACTAGCAGTAAAGAAATTAGAACAATTATATTGTACTACTGACTGTAATCAGATCAGACACATGTAGTCTCAGTGAATTTCATAAAATAAGATTAAATATCAAAGTTGTTTATATATAAACATATCAATGTTGTTTATAAATAAAAGTATATAGACTAGGCAATAACAGCATTTACATGCATTCAGCAGCCTGCTCTCTCAGAGCCAGAACTGGATTTATAAAAAAAAATAGGTTTTAAAAAGTCCACAGTCAACCGCACGTGAAATAAGGGTGAAATAATTGCTTATTTAAAAGCTATATGTTGCCGCAATTATGTATATAAATACTGATTAGGGCACAGAGTAGAACTAAAAATACAGTTTTAAATCTCATATATGGGGATTCAGTTCCACCACATATTCTACAATTCTGAAAGAGGCTAATTTTAATAATATGTTGTAAGAGCATATATGTGAATATATATACTGCAAAATTAATGTGATATTGCAAAGCCTGCAATATTCTAAACAGACATTAAAACTTAAGAAAAAAAATTTAAAAAGAAAAAAAATAATGCATAAAGAATAATGCATAAAAAAATGCAGTGTCAATTAATGTGATAATACTCTGATATATTAAATCACATATCTGCTATATGAAAAGTATAATTAAGGTAACTTTACTGTCCAAAGCCCCCTCACATCTATTTTATAGAATCTATACTTTTTTGTGGTCACCTCCAAAGAAGCCTCTGAAATTGGGGGGCTCAGAGGGGGGCTCATCCCGAAAGGAATCAGATTCCAGACTTAACATTTTTTAAATAAATAAATAAATGATAGAAAAGGAATCACGGAACACCCAGAACATGCATTTTTGTATATAATCTTAATTTGCAGATATTTTATGCCTTAAAGACATATAAAGGATATTTAATTAAATATGCAGGTATCTTTAAAAATTAAGCAAAGTTAAAAAAATAAATAAATAAAATAAATAATAATAATAATAAAAATTTTATTTTACACCACAATATAAACAGCTTTGTTAAACAGATTTAAGTACAAGTACTTATTTCAAGAAATATACAGAATACGTTTACAACAGGCAGGTTTAGCATAAATGCAAAGTTGTTGTTTTGGGGGATTTATTATTGCCCAAGAAATCTCTGAACATATTCAGAATTTTTAAGAGCAGCAAGTAAGACAGCAGATTGCAATGGACACCATTACAATATTGCTTTGCCGATTGAGGTCAGAGATTTAAAGAATAAATGTTCTATAGCTCATTAGACCACTGGCTTTTAATGAACAGATTGCACAACACTTATAAAATAGTTTGTTATACTGCACATTATAGCTGTGACAACATGATATACAGTGTAAAAATGCTATTTCACTGTTTAATAGACTTACCCAGTATTTAAGGACGACATGTTTCTTGCAAAGTCATCGGGACTTTGAGGGAGGTTCTAACTATGTTTAATTAATTAATTAACTTACTAAAGAAAAAGAAAAAAAGAAGGTTTTGTTTTTCCCCTGCAAGTGAGTTTTCAGCGCAAGGTCATCTTGTGTTCACAGACTATTCGGATTTTAAAAAAGCTGTTCTTTATCTCACATTATGAACGGCCTTGTAATTCCTATCCACACTAAAAGTTGGCTTTTAAATGTTATTGTTTTAACTTTAATATTTCATAGTTAATACAGAGAATAAAGTAATTTAAAGAAAATATATTGAAAGTATATTAATTGATAGGATTTCATTTATCTATTTTGGTCCACTGTTCACTGATCTCGAATCTCAGTCTGATGTTCAAACAGTTTTTCTTACGATACGTCGTGAGTTTATATCCACAACTGCATTTTGCTTTGTGGAAACAAATTGAAAGCCTGGCATTGTAATATGTGTATGGACATGCTTATAACAAAGCATGGGCCCTCTCCTCATGTAGTTGGTCTGTAACAGGCACTTTGATGGAATGTGTCTACCAACGCTTTTCTGTGGTCACTGGATCACATTGCATACCCTATCTCTCTGTCATGATGCAGAGTTTATGCTTGCAAGGATATCCAGACCTTATCCACCTGGTATCCGCATAAATACTCCTATCGTTTACAGGGGTTAATTACATAATAACCATTGAAGGTAATATGTTGGTTGTTCTTCCTATAGAGGAAAGATGGACTTGCCCTAAAAGCTTTTTCATGGCTAGGACAAGCTCTTATAGAGAGAGGTAATGTACTTCTGACTCCTGAAAAGGAATATTGGTGGTCACAATATGGGAAATACTGTAATTCATGTGTTTAGTAATCATAAGCATTTGCTTATTGCCACATTACTGATGTACTGTTTATTGAAATATTAATATCTAACATACTTTTTGAATTACTATATATTGGAAGTGTGCCAACATCTCATGGTTATAAATATGTTTTTGTATGTGTTGATGCATGTACCAGG